CGGCCCTCGGCAGACCTCCTGGGCGCCACAGTGGCGAGGAGATGTTGCCTACTCGCCTGGTATATAGGAGGTTGTGCATTCGATCTCGCTCAATGCCTCCTCTATATAATTGGAGCGGTCACGTTTCCCCCGCACCCCCCAGTGGACGCGTCGATTGTTTTCCTCCCCGTTTCGAATCGACGTCACGCGTTTCGAGCATTTGGCTGCCGTTGTGAATTTCCGCGCCGACGACGACGATGATGACGACGATGACAATGACGACTATGATGACGATGACGATGACGACCATGACGACGATGACGACGACGATGACGACGATGACAATGACGACCATGACGATGATGATGACGATGATGATGATGACGATGACGACGATGACGATGACGACGATGATGACGACGATGACGACCATGATGACGATGACGACGACGACGATGACGATGACGACGACGACGATGACGACGACGACGACGATGACGACGATGATGACTACGATGACGTTGATGACGACGACGAAGACGACGACGATGATGACTACGATGACGTTGATGACGAGGACGAAGACGACGATGATGATGACGACGATGACGATGACGACGATGACGTTGATGACGACAATGACGACGATGACGACGACGATGATAAGCGGCCCAATCATTTGTGGTAGCCGCGTTCGCTTCTGAAGGAGAGGCTGTGCACATAGCTGAGTGGAGCCTTACCTTGTGCGGGGGTGGGGAGCGAGGCTCAAGCCATCTATCCACGAGGTTTAAAACGAGCAGCAGTGGCGTCGGTCGCGGTTCGAACCTGCGGGAATTTGCTCTCCTCGTCGATGAGCGCGATGAGGTTGAGCGGGCGGCTGGAGATCATGTCGAGGGCCTCCTGGTTGTCCGTGGTGAAGGTGATGTTCTTCCACGAGATGGACTCTCGCTCGTACTCCTCCTGCTCCAGCTTGAAGATGTGTCCCACGAAGAACTGCTGCAGCGCCTCGTTGGCCAGGTTGATGCAGAACTGCTCGAAGCTGCGACGAGGTGGTACCGGGGGGGGGAGGAGGACGAGGAGACACGGGTGAGAACTCAAGAGACCAAGATAGGGGTGGGTGAGTGGGTGGGTGAGTGAATAAATGAATGAGATGATGAATGAATGAGTTGAAGAGTTACAAGTTGATTCTGTGTAGCCGGGGGAGAACTCAAGAGACAAGGATAGGGGTGGGTGGGTGAATGAGTGGGTGGGTGAGTGGTTGGGTGGGTGAGTAGTTGGGTGGGTTGGTGAGTGGTTGGGTGGGTGCGTGAGTGGGTGGGGAGTGGTTGGGTGGGTGGGTGAGTGGTTGAGTGGGTTGGTGAGTGTTTGGTTGGGTGGGTAAGTGAGTGGGTTGGTGAGTGGTTCGGGGTGGGTGAGTCTTTGGGTGGGTGGGTGAGTGAGTGGCTAAATGAATGAGATAATGAAAGAATGAGTTCATGAATTCCAAGTTAATTCTGTGTAACCGGCTGAGAACTCAGGAGACCCGGGATAGGAGTCTCATTTTTGACGAGCGAGTGAGTGGGTGAGTGGGTGAGTGAGTGAGTGGGTGAGTGGTGGGTGAGTGAGTGTGTAAGTGAGTGGGTGGGTGGATGACCGACTGACTGCCTGACTAAATGAGTGTACAAATGAACGAGATGATGACCCGCGGAGGGACGAGATGGACATGCGGAGGGGAGGGTGGGACACACACACACACACCTGTTCGTCTGGAAGTTCTCGAAGCCGAAGATGTCGAGGAGGCCGATGGAGCGTCGCTCCTCCTCCTGCTCGCCGCCGCCGCGAGAGGGCGGCTTGTACACGATGGAGTTCATCTTGTCCACGATCCACACGAACATCTTGCCGTAGATCGCCTGCGACAAGGGGTTGGGGCAAGTGGCCAGGAGTGAAAGGGCGCGGCAGCAGCGGGCGCGGATCCGGCAGCTTTGTTCGGCTCGATCCTGTGAACGAAGGAGGGCTTCCTGGGAGAGAGAGAGAGGCGTTTTGAAATGACGCCCGAACGGTCGCGGTGGAGCGGAACGAATTAAATAACGAGATGAACGAAGCGGAGCGATCAGTTGCCTTCCCGTATCCACGTCTTTCTCTCTCTCCCCTTCTTTCCACGTAAGAAAGAAAATGAAAGGTTCGTTCCTCCCGATGGGATGAGATGATGCATTTCACGAGTTGGCGTTGCTATGCCACGTCGCGCTGAATCAGGACCCAAGTAAAGCCCGGCACTGCTGATGAGACACAGAGCTTTGAAACCAGTCTTGCCTGGTACGATTTGGCAGTCTTGTCGGCATTGATTCAAGTAAAGCCAACACTGCTGGTGAGACACTGAGTGTTGAAACCAGTCCTTGCCTGGTACGATTTGGCAGTTCCGCCAGCATTGATTCAAGCAAAGCCTTGCTCTGCTGATGAGGCACTGAATGTCTAATCGGTGGAGATTTTGCTTGCCTTGAATCAATGTTGCAAAAAATGCAGCACTCCCAGAATGCCGTGCGGTTCATGGGTTATTTGGAGTGAACTTTGGCCTAGTTATGCAGGCTGGCCAGACGTTCAATTCTAGATGTTGAAGGACCCACATTGTATCTCACCGCACGAGACCTGCCGAGCGACTAGCCGTGGTGGTGCACCCATTGATACTGCTGAGTGGGTACAGGCGGGTTAATTATAGCAACAACGGTGGCTAGGAGATGTTAACTACCTCGCCTGGTATGCAGGAGATCGTGGGTTCGATCTCAATGCCTGCGTAATTGTATTTTGAGTTTCTCTCTCGCAGTGGTCGCGTGGATTTTTCTCCGGGTCCTCCGGTTTTCCCCTCCACGTTTAGACTCAACGTCACGCGTTCAGAGTGTTTGCCCTCGCCTATAAAATGTCTACATGATGATAATGATGATAATTCACTGCGTTGAGCTATCATTTTAAATGGCCAAGTCGCTTCTGAAAGATTAAAAAAAGATCCACGTAACTCAGCGGCGTCCTCAGCTGGGTAAAATAAAAAGTAAATCGTTTTCATCGTTTCGGGTTTTTTTATCTTCATAAATTAGGGGCCATCCATAAATGATGTCACGCTGTTTTGTACGATTTTTGACCCCCCCACCTTTGTCACACGGCGTCACAAAAAAGTCAGACCCCCCCTCAAATATGACGTCACAAAGCTCTGCCCCCCCCCAAAAAAAAATAAAACATGCTTCAAATCGCTTTAAACTATTGTTAATGTGGCGCTGCACTCTGATGTTGCAGGAGAAAACATTAAAAAGTCTATTTAATTAATCAGAACGTGTTGTCTATATTTATTTAAAGTTGCGCATTTTGACGTGACGTCACATTTCTCAACCCCCCCCCCTCGTCACACATCGTCACAAACGTCTGACCCCCCTCCCCCCCCTAGGTGCGTGACGTCATTTATGGACGTCACGTCCCCTTACCTTCACGAAGGCGTTCCGGACCTCCTGAGTCTGCGCCATGCTGAGCAGCGTCGTCACCTTCTCCCCACGCATCAGCATCACCTTCTTGGTGAGGCACTCTTGAACCTCGGCCTCATCCACCTGCAGCGGACCACGGCTGAGTAAAACTCCTCCCCTCTCACTCAACCCCCACCCCACCCACCCACCACCACTCACAACATCTTTTTAAATCCTTTATATTAAGTTCAATTGCTTGCGCGCTTGCTTACGACCGTGCAAATCTTTCGGTCGTTTTTTAACCCACTTCCCGTGATCCAATCGAGCTGACATTTTGCACACAGACTCGTTGTGCGTGACAATTTATTTTCGTGAAATTTTTTTCCAAAATGTTTCACTTGTTAGGAAAAAAAAATTTTCATATTAAATTTAAAATACCAATGTGATAAAAATGAAACTCTTACTCAAGAAAAACAGAAATGAATAATAAAATAAAACCGATGCCACGCATATAAAGGATTTATAGTGAAAAACTTTGTTTTTACGGGTTACTTTTTTCCACCGGGCAAAACCGTGCCGTGCCGGGGGTAACCGGCGCCGATGACGTCGCGCTCGGTGAACGGTCGGAGAGAGACACGCGGCGTGCCGACCGACGTCACAATCAAACAAAGACAAAGATCCCCAGCCCGCCCCCCGTGTAGCCTTAACGGACTGTCGGGGCAAGTGCTGTTAGCGAGTAGCGCCTATGAAGGCCGGCACGGCACACGAGGGGGTGGGTGGCCAGGGTGTCCCAGCCCAAAAAATATCTAAATTTGAAAACTCATTTCCTGCCTAAAATATTAAAAAATTCACTAACACATGGGATGGACTTTTTATTTTTTTTTACAATAATGTCTAATAGTGTATTGTATTACATTGCTCTGTTTTTACTTTTTTTTACCATTTCTTGTTTCATTGTATGTAATTGCAGAGATTAGGGATTAATAAAGTACAACCATAACCACAATCATATGAAGAGAAATCTATGCATTGTTATATGAAGACAAGTCCAGATATTGTGGCCAAGGTTCAGCAAATAGTTGTTTTATTTACATAGCATAGCCATTTTTTTATATAGCAATATATTGGGAGGGGGGCATTTTGAGCATATTTGAATATTGGGAGGGGGGCTGGTCCCCCCTCCCCAATATATATTATAATTACGGCCTTGCCGTGAACGCATCGGCGGTGGATTTGGGGGAGTTGCTTGAAGTCACCTCGAGAAGTTGGAGGCCCAGGTCAGGTGGTCGTTGGTGAGAATTTCGCAGCACTCGATGTTGCTGCTCACCGTGCCTGTCGGGGTCACAGAGGCAAAGGTCCATCACATCGCCTTCAGCAGACTGGTCAGCGCAAGGGCCAGTGAGCGAGACGGCACCTACGAAGGCCGCCGCCGCGGCCCGCGCGGACATCGCGGTTTTGCGTGGCCTTCCCCAGTGGCGATGCTTACCACATTTGACACTACCGCCTACTCGTTTAAGGCTGAGTCGACTAGGGGGAAGGCCCAGGAACTGGTGTTTGGTGGCCGTTAGTGGGAATCGCCACTGCGGGTATCTGGGTTCAGAAGAGCGCATGGCGCTAACCGCTGCGCGAGCTCGAACGGCTTACGGGAGCGCCGTTACTGCCGCCGGCAGCAGCATCTAAACCAGCGGTTCGTCTTCTGAACCTGGGGTGCATCACGTGCCCACTGGGGGTGCGAGGTGCCCTTTGCGGGGGTGCGGGACATGGCCAGGTTATTTTAGAAGGCAAATTATCTAAAATATAAATTAAGCACGGGCACGTGTGTACAACTGTTTTCGATTGAAAGCTTTCGTGACTGCAGGGATTCATCTTCTTGGTTCTTTCGGTAAAGTCATGTAGAAGGGAAATAATAAAATAATATTTATTATATTTTTTTATTATATTATTTTATTATGTTGTATTTTTATTATTATTTCCATTCTACGTACCGACTTAACGAAGAACTAAGAAGATACAACTTATTTGTTTAATCAAACCTATGTGCCTATTAACATTATATATTTTTAACGATTGAGAACCAAAGGGGTGCAAGGCTGCAGTAGGTAAAAAAAAAACACTTATCTATGCCATATGATTGTTTAATTTTACGAGATAGGCCCCACTGAGCTATTCCGTAAACGGCGGTCAGAGCCGTTGAACTCTGTTAATGATCTTGCTACTTTTATTAGGATGAAGTGAAACTCTATTCTTAGGTCTTTCAGTAAAGTCGCGTAGATAGGTTCAAAGAAAATACCAAAAATTACGACGTTTCAATCACAACAACAATCTGATAACGATCACTTGTGTTGTGATCTAAACGTCGTAGTTTTTTGTTAATTTCTTTGAACCTATCTACGCGACTTTACGAAAGACCCAAAGAATATTAATTCCTGCAGTCACGAAATTATTTGAAGTGAAACTCATTGGAAACTTTTTATTTTACGAGGTGAGGCCTCACGAGCCATACGGCTCTTTATCAGAAGCGACCTGTCATACAAATGATAGTTCAACGAATTGGGCTCATCATCATCATCACGTGGAAGTTGTATACCAGCCAAATACTCTCAACGCGTGTGACGTTAATTCTAAATGGGAGGGAAAACCGGAGAAAAATCCACTCGACCACGGGGAGAGAGAGAGCGAGACACACAAACTACAAATATACAGGCAGCAGGTATCGTCAGGGTTCGGATGTAAACCACAACCGCCTGTATACAGGCGAGGTGGTTAACATCTCCTAGCCACCGTGATGATGAGAGAGACACGCAAACTCCAAATATACAGCAGCAGGCGTCGTCAGGCTCGGGATCGAAACCACAACTTCCTGTATACCAGACGAGGTCGTTAACATCTCCCAGCCACCGTGATGATGATGATGATGAGAGAGAGACACGCAAACTCCAAATATACAGCAGCAGGCGTCGTCAGGGTTGGGATCGAAACCACAACCTCCTGTATACCAGGCGAGGTCGTTAACATCTCCCAGCCACCGTGATGATGATGAGAGAGAGACACGCAAACTCCAAATGTACAGCAGCAGGCATCGTCAGGGTAGGGGTTGAACCCACGACCTCCTGTATACCCGCCGCCATGGCGATTGCTCGCCCGCACCTTGCAGCTTGAGGTTCCCCAGGTGCAGGATGCTCGCCAGCATCTGGAGATGTCCAGGTACTCGGTCTCGGAGAAGGCGAGCACCTTCATCGCGGAGCGGATGCTCGCGAAATCCTTGAGGTCGTCGCGCCCGTCGCAGCGCGTGCAGTTGCCCTGCGGCGACGGTCACGGCAGGGGAAGGAAAAGAAATATAAATATCCGTCGGCTGACAATGTTTCTTTTTGTTTGATTTATTTTTGTTTTGGTGGCACGCGAAGAGAGAGAGAGAGAGAGACAGGACGATTTGAGAGAGAGGGAGGACGACTCAGAGAGAGAGAGGGCGACTCAGGGAGAAAGAGGACAACTCAGAGAGAGAGGATAACTCAGAGAGAGAGGGGACGACAGAGAGAGAGAGGACAACTCAGAGAGAGAGGATGACTCAGAGAGAGAGGGGACGACGGAGAGAGAGAGGACAACTCAGAGAGAGAGGACGACTCAGAGAGAGAAAGGACTACTCAGAGAGAGGGGACAACTCAGAGAGAGAGGACGACTCAGAGAGAGAGGGACAACTTAGAGAGAGACGACTCAGAGAGAGAGAGGACAACTCAGGAGAGAGGACAACTCAGAGAGAGAGGACGACTCAGAGAGAGAGAGGACGACTCAGAGAGAGAGAGAGGACACCTAAGAGAGAGAGAGAGAGGACGACTCAGAGAGAGATAGGACGACTCAGAAAGAGAGGGGACGACTCAGAGAAAGAGGACGACTCAGAGAGAGAGACGACTCAGAGAGAGAGAGGACGACTCAGAGAGAGAGAGAGGACAACTCAGAGAGAGAGGACAACTCAGAGAGACAGGACGACTCAGAGAGAGAGGGGACGACGGAGAGAGAGAGAGAGAGGGGACGACTCAGAGAGGAGAGGACAACTCAGAGAGAATGGACGACTCAGAGAGAGAGAGGACTACTCAGAGAGAGAGGGGACAACTCAGAGAGAGAGAGGCTACTCAGAGAGAGAGAGGACTACTCAGAGAGAGAGGGGACAACTCAGAGGAGAGAGGACGACTCAGAAGAGAGGGACACTTAGAGAGAGAGAGGACGACTCAGAGAGAGAGGACGACTCAAAAGAGAGAGGACGACTCAGAGAGAGAGAGGACTACTCAGAGAGAGGGGACAACTCAGAGAGAGAGAACGACTCAGAAAAAGAGGACGACTCAGAGATAGAGAGGACCACTCAGAGAGAGAGTGGACGACTCAGAGAGAGAGATGACGACCCAGAGGCTCCAAGAGAAGGAACCACTGATGATCAGAAAGTCCCCACGCGATGAGCCGGTGACAATTGGCCAAACTCAGCGGTCCTCAATATATATTAAGGTGCCATCAGCCAATTTATCAGGCCGGCTTTTTCGTGTTATTTTGTCACCATCGATTAGCACGGTTGGCTATGTACAACCCTAAATAAATTTAACGTGGAACAATGATGAGCGTTCACACGCGGGACAAAAACCAGAGCGTCCGGAGACAGCCCACACGTGTGCGAGGGGGAAACGCTCTATCCTCCACAGGTGGAACAGGTGGAGTCCACATCCTTGCCTCCTGGCAGCGCCAGGGTTGTGGCTCATCCTCCTCCTCGACGCCTACCCACGGGAAGGGAGTTCCTGGCTGCGTCAATCCACCAACCCTCGCAGCCGCACAGTCGACCACGCACGGCGCGGTAGAAGTCCAACATACGTGCCGGATCGAGGTCTCATGACCATCTGGATCGAGGTCTCATCACCATCTGGATCGAGGTCTCATCGACATCTGGATCGAGGTCTCATCACCATCTGGATCGAGGTCTCATCACCATCTGGATCGAGGTCTCATGACCATCTGGATCGAGGTCTCATGACCATATGGATCGAGGTCTCAACACCATCTAGATCGAGTTCTCAACACCATCTGGATCTAGATCTCATCACCATCTGGATCGAGGTCTTATCACCATCTGGATCTAGATCTCATCACCATCTGGATCTAGATCTCATCACCATCTGAATCTAGATCTCATCACCATCTGGATCTAGATCTCATCACCATCTGGATCTAGATCTCATCACCATCTGGATCGAGGTCTCATCACCATCTGGATCTAGATCTCATCACCATCTGGAGCAAGTCCTCATCACCATCTGGATCTAGATCTCATCACCATTTGGATCGAGGTCTCATCACCATCTGGATCGAGGTCTCATCACCATATGGATCAAGTCCTCATCACCATCTGGATCAAGTCCTCATCACCATCTGGATCTAGATCTCATCACCATCTGGATAAAGTCCTCATCACCATCTGGATCGAGGTCTCTTAACCATCTGGATCGAGGTCTCATCACCATCTG